GGAGCTTTAAACATGGCTCCAACCTTAGGGGAGCTTGGAACAGCAGGTGGTCAAATTAACTTCAGCTCATTGTGGCTGGGACATTTTTGTTGGGGAAATTTCCACTGTCAGGCTCGGTAAGTAGCCTGGGCCAAGTGCTGGACAAAAATCTTCAGTCAGCTATCCAGGATTAAATTTCCAAAATGGATGGAGCCAGGATATAGTGCGATTCCATCGGATTGCCCTGTCTTCTGCAGGGGCCAGGTGTGTGGGTGTGTGGGTGTGTGTATGGTTCCACCCCACACCCCACTCCGCCCCCCCATCAGCTTCTGTTCCATTCACTGAATGGGTTGAAACCTTCTGCCACCTCCCTCACATCCTAAAACTGAAAGGGAGGTTATGTGAGCTCAAATTCCTTGAGAGTGATATTCAACAAGTTCTATTTTCAACCCCATTTTCACCCACATGTACACACACCCAAATCACCAATTCCATAAATTTAGGGAATTGTTTTCCATAAGGTGAGTTGTAGTCTTTTTCTGATTTCCCCAATTCTATCTTAAAATAAAACTTTTTGTGTAGCACACTAATTCTTCTTCTGTTTAACTTTTAAAATGTTGCTGCTACTTTGTATTTTCCCATTTTTTGTCCTTTTGTGTTTATGAACACCTTTCTTCTTCCCTTCCTTTCCTCCTTCCCTTTCTTTTTTTCTCCTCCTCTCTTCCTTTGTTTCTTTTTCTTTCTCTCTGTTCTCATTCTCTCCCTTTCTTCCTTCTCAGTGGACTTTTGGACAGAGACACAACAGATCTATCTTTAAAACAGCATCTTGGTCTATCTCTGATTTCCATTTTGCTGAGGATGAGCAAAGTAGCATGGTGGGCATGAAGAGGATGCCAGCACTCGTGTTCATATAAAACTCTCAGGACTTCAGCACCCACGTAGGATGCAGAAAGCTAAAAGGAGTTTTGCTCCTAACCTAACAAAGGAAAGTCCAGGTAGTGCAAAAATATATAATTTTCCTCAACTCCATAAGAGTTGCAGTCATACAGTAACCAAATAGGCTGAAATCCAAGGAAAAAAAAGATGCATCCATGCAGAAATGAGATGTAAATAATAGTTCACACATTGCAGTGGGAGGAGAAGGGTCCTCCACTCAAGAAGCTAAGAAAAACTCAGCTAAAATTCAGTGTCTTATGAACTGCTCAATTCTAAATGTGGACCAGAAAGAAACTCTAGAATTCCTAGGATCAAGTACTCAAGTTGAGCTTGCACACTCTCGTAGAAAATATAGAAGAAAAATGGGATTAGCACTACTCGCCCCCCGAAAAAAACAAATACAAATAAATGTGAGAAATTAGGCCTTACCCAAATGAATGATTTCTCCACAAAGAAAATGAAAATATGTTCTACAAGGAAAAATATATTTGCAAAAGACATATCTGATCATTATGATGTGTCCAAAACATACAAAGAACTCTCAAAACTCAATAATAAGAAAAAAATTTAAAATGGGCACGTTACAGCTTGCTCTTGAACAATACACGAGTGTTGAGTAAACTCATGAAAGCACACTTTACTCTTTCAGGAAATGACAATTAAAACCATAGCAGGCCTAAGACATACCCGGTTGAATGGCTAGACATTTAAGCGACAAAAACGTCTAGCGCTGGCGATGATGAAGAGGATTTTTATGCTCACTGCTGGGGGGAATCCAAAGAGCTTCGGAGGGGACCTAAAGCAAAGCGGGTCGGTGACCACTCTGCAGCCCTCGGCCCAGAGCAGCTGGCAGGGAACAGCGGGATGGCGCAGTCTGTCCTTCCCGGGGCCACTGCTGTCCCCGGGGCGGCTTCCATCTGCTTCCCCCGGTGGGCCTGGATCACACCGCGGCTCCCTTCTCCGGGTCTCCCGCTCCTTGGCAAAGCTGGAGCTTCTCAATTTCAGATTCCAAGCTCAGAAGAGGGGAGGCGGGAGGGGCGCCTGTGAACAAAGGGCTAGGACCTCGCTCTGCGCTGAATTCCTGCAGGGTTCAGCTCTGGAAGAGTTTGGGGTGGGGGCCGCCCCCCATCCCACCCCGCAAAGCACCCCGCTGTCTGTTCCAGGCAGTCTGTGCGAGGAGATGAAGTTCTTGTGCAAAAAAGCGAAACTGTCCTCATCACCAGGTCCACCACTGTTAGCTTTAAGAGCGTTTAGACTTAATTATGCGAGCCCCTAAGTAAAACAATGAGCAATGAGCAACACATTCTACCGGGAGTGGGGTTCGAGCCCACGCAGACTTAAATCTATTGGATCTTAAGTCCAACGCCTTAACCACTCAGCCATCCCGGTAAGCACCTGGTTCAGTTGTTTTCTATTTACAATTTTTGATCTTTGCGGGATTGTAAGGTACCACCTGTGAAACATACAGTTGAAGAGTATTACAAACGTGTAATACTTCTTTTAGAAAGAAATCACTGGAAAAACTTATCTTTAACAAGGCCTATTTCACCACTCATTTGTGCCACTCATCATGCTAGGAGTTAGGGAACCACAAACCATTCCTTAACCCAAGGACTTGCAGTCAAATAAGGATTATGATTTTAAGAACAAGAAAGCACAGGACACTGCAGGGATAGTCAGTTTTCCCGACCCTACTCCGTCAGCACTTAGGATCCAGGAAGAAAAAGCAAAGCGGAGAAGGGGTGGGACTTCAGCAACCTAGACCTCTTCGTCCTGCTCCCAGAAAAAGTTATGCGGCTGAGTCCCTGCTGCTCCGGAAGGGAACTCGTTGGATCCGAGGCCTCCCTGTCCCGGCCCAAGGGCGTCCGTTACACAGAGAGGAGCTCCTGGAGGTGGTGTGGGAGCCCTGTGCACGCACTGGAGGCTGAATCCAAGACGCCGACTTAAACACGCGTGCGTGCGTTCCCCCTGTCCGGACGACAGGGCCCAGCGGATATCTGAACCTCTGTGGGGAATCCTAGAACCAGAGAGGAAGTAGGGTGGTGAAGCGTCCATGTACAAACATCGGAGTTACAAAAGTAAGTGCCTCTGTTATGTGGCTGACCCGAAGAACCGGAAGAACGAGCTGAGCTGCGAGGGGAGAAGGTTGCATAGGCTTCCCCATGAGAGTAGAGATTAACTCTTCCGACTGGGGGGCCCTGGCTCAGAAAGAAACCAGCGCCCCAGGAACTCACCAAGCTCGGAGGTTCAGTCCCTCAGGCAGGAAAGGACCTGTTGGAAGAGTAGGGTTCTATATGGTGCATCACGTATATTTTAGAAAATATGCTTATCTGGAGTTTAAACACCTATATATGACAGCCGAAAAGTTAATGGAAATATATTTAGAAAATACCTTCATGACTCAGAGGACAGAAAATCACTTTTAAGAAATTGTTAAAAATCAACAATTCAGCAAAACACTGATGCAGTTTGCTCCATCTAAATCAAAGACATGTTCAAGAAAGCCACAATGGAAAAATTCAGAAACCCACCTTGCAAGCAAGCACAAGGTCCCAAGTTTCATCTCTGGCAACCCCCGCAAAAAAGTATTTTAAACACAGTATTATTAGTGGTTTATAAAATGCATAACAAAATCAGGTATCATTTGGATACTTTAGGCTGGCAGAATTAGAAAGCTGGGCACATCAATGATTGCAGGAATGAGGATGTAGTAGCTCTCATAACTGCTGGCAGAATTTATACTCTTGCAAGCATTCTGGGAAAGTGCAGTAGTTTGGAGTGAAGACTGCCCAAGCCCAGGTATCCAGACATTCAGCTCCCCAGTTGTATAGAACCCCACACAGCCAGTGTCACACAGGCCTAGACCATACCCTGCATGGATGTTAGTGGTAGCAATGTTTTGGTCTTTCAGAAGGAGATGCACCCTTGAAGACATAATAGAGAGCTGTGCATCATATTGGCCATTATGCTACCATGGGAACAGAGATGAGCATGTAGCAACACATATCATTCTAGGAAGAAATTAAAAAAAACAAAAACCTTCAACTGTAAGACTTAAAGCCTCACTTCTACTCCTGGAGCGTGAACAGCCAAGAGGCCTCCACGATGCTGGGCCCAAAAGCTCAGCGAGGCTCCAGGAGCTTGTCAGACAGCGAGAGTCACCCAGGAAGGAACACACCAGGCAGGTTGGCAAATAGACCTTTATTAGTCTGGCCAGACGGCACTCCCAAAGCCAAGTAGCTCAGAGAGGCAGCTAGCTCAGAATCAGAGGCCATTTTATATAGGGCTATGGGGGGAGGGGGTACATTCAAAACTTACAAAAAGGGGACAAAGGCATGTAGTCAGTTGATCTGAGCTGGTGGTCAATCATGTACTCGACTGTTACGTACTAATGATCAGCAGATCGATTATCCATTGCTCTATTTACAATTTAGATTGTGGTGTCCAGAACATTCCAGACAAGTAAGGAGTGGAGTGATTGATTTTGGGTCTCTATGTTCATTACAGTTTCATTCTAGTTTCCCAGATACTCCCAAGCAGTTATCTAATAATTCACAATTAATCATTAGTTATCCTATAAGGGGTGGGGAGGAACAAGTCTCTGGGTCATTTGCTGGTCAACATGGAGTCACTCTAGTTCAGTTAGGCTCTTACACAATCAAACGGGGGAAAAAAGAATCAAGGTATATTATGTAAAGGTACAAACCTGCAGTGATGAATGTCATTATATTGTATACCTAAAATGTACCAATACAATTTTTTAAAACTTCAATCAGCTTTCTTCCAATATTCATACTATTGTTGTCTTGTCACACAGCCTTGCATAGACACTGCGCCTTCCTTTGAGTCTCAGTTAGGAACAGTGGTGTGGAACTGAGCCTCACTCCCCTTGGGACAGGAGCAGCGCTGAGTTTCTGGGGCGCCACGGGTGGGTGGGACAACATGCTGCGATTAGTTAGGCAAGAGAGAAAGGGGGTAAGAAAGAGGGGAAAGAAGGGAGGGAGGGACAAGCAAATAATCTGAAAGATAAATTTAAGGTTCACTTCTTAACTACCATATGAAAGTAAAATACTACTAGGGAATGAGTTTCCATAGTGTAGTGGTTATAATGTTCACCTAACACGCAAAAGGTCCCTGGTTCGAAACTGGGTGGAAACACATGCCATGGTTTGTAAAATCTATCTGAATGTTTCACATTTCAACCTGCCCCAGGCAAAAAGCAGCGACTGGATTGTGGACCATAGCAGAGGACAGAGCATGGCATCCCTATTGGGCCAGCTCTGGTGGACTTTGCCTTTACTCTGAGCACATGTAGGGAGCTGGGCTTGCAGAGGTGAAGCCAGAGGCCTGCACCAGCTCTGGGGAGAGGGTTTGGCACAGAGAACAGAGGGAAGGATGGAGGAGAGGCGCTATGTCCCTGCGGCCAGAGTGCCAGAGTTCAGCTGGGACCCTGGGCAGGAGAGAGAGGGAGCTGGAGGCAGCTGTGTTTTCCAGAGAGAACAAAGAGGAAGGATTCCAGAGAAAACGGAAGTGAGGAGTGAAAGAAAGAATGAAGGTGCTTCTTCAAAACAAACAAACAAACAAAAAAAAACTGTAGGAATGAACCTGTCATTAACCACATCAAGGAAGAGTTGGTGGAGCAGGATTATTGGGAATCTGTGGACCAGCACACACACCCCACTGTACCAGTAGGGATGGATGGATCAGACAGGCAAAGCTGGAGTCCAGTGGAGTGGTCGACCGCCCATGAGTTCCAAGTGGCAGTCCCGAGGTCGCCAGAGAGTGTCTACAGACCATGTCCTGAGACATCCCATCCTCAAGGTGGCTTGTGCAGAGGACCAGAGGAGACAGGGCTGTCACCAGGGGTACTGAGGTGGAGGAGCCATCGAGCGGAGAGACAATCAGGACTGCAGTGTCTTGGGATTCGACTAAAGAGAATGTCTTTAGAAGGGTAGTGTCTGTCACCCAGAGAAAATAGGACAAGACTGGGAGCTGAGGTCCTGTTTTGTGTTTGTTCTTTGCTGGTGACTGTTAGGGAAGAACTCTGCCACCAGCTACACCCCAGAGCTCACTGGTGACCTGGACCAGAAGTCCCTGAGCAGTGGCGATTCCAAAATTCTGAAGGTTTTAAAGAATAGGGGAGACCGCAGCTAGTAAATTTGGGTAACTCTTTAGAGATTGTTAAATGAAGTCATCAGAGAAATGGACCATTACCTAGAGGCAGAGGCTGAGTCCAGAGAAGCTTTTTAAAGATAGGGCCAAGCATCACATTTACATGTTCATGGGGATAGCTGCTGGGATAAACTTGCCAGATGCAGTGCAGATAAAACTGTCCTGAAGTCAAATGGCAGTTCCCTCAGAGCAGTGTGAGAAGCCACACTCCTTCGAGGAGATAAGGAATTTTTGAGAACTCCGTGATAGCAAGTTGCCGCCCATCCATTTCCATTCCATGTTTCTCTTCTATTTTTACTTTTCAGGACAAAGAGACACAAAGTCTGGTCCTGCATTCGCTATGCTCAAATGTTAAGAGAGCCCCTGAAGAGTCCTCCATGGAACCCCGACTTGGCAATCGCTAGCTTGCCCTGTGGTTGGCCCCACTTAGCAGATGATGCTCACCCTCTGAGTCCTGTGACAACAGTGACCAGGCTCTGGGGAAGTGTCCCTGTTTCCTAGCAGGGAATACTGACCCTTAAACTCACATCACCAGAAATTGGGCCAGAGTTCTCAAAGGCAGTCCATGCAAGACTGGCAGGTCACCTTCAAGGAGACCTATAAACCAGTCCTCGGCACCCCAAAAATGCAAGTATGAGGTACAGAGTCCTTGTGGATCTTCACGGGCTAAGTGGAACCAGAAAAGCAAAGATAATTAGAAAGCAGACCATAGTCAGAGATGCGACCCCGGGACATCTACTGATTCCCACCACCCCTAATTGCTAAAACAGATCAGCGAACTCCTGTCCTTGGTGGAGGTCAAGACCCTCTAGAGATTCTGTGAAATCAAGAGACCCTTCCAGCTTCCTTCTCTTTAAATCCCAGTTTGAATAACTCCAACTCCACTTGGCCTCCAGATCCTGGAAGGAGAGAAGGGAACTGGAAGGATCTAACACCAAGCGGGCCCTCCAGTGAAATTCAGAAAGGGAAGCTGCCTTTCTCACAAACAAATCGCATCTGAAGGGCCCAGCCTCAGGCACTGTTGCTCCTCTCTCCTCCCTTTTCAAGCAAATGTTCTCTTTTCCTCAAAGAAAAAGTTGACCATTCATTCAGTGAACCCTTATAGATGTGTTCTGTGTGTCTGATGCTCACTAAGTACTGGGATGATACTTGTGAACCAATTAGGAAAAAAAACACTTCTCTTTTAGTGGCAAGATCACAGAAATTTTAGAAAGTAAACAGTTAGATTGAATGATAACATATGCTAAGGAGAAAAAGAATACTGGCGATATTTGAACAAAAATTTAAAGGAAAAAAATTAGTCCTGGAGAGTCTCCCAAAAGACACAGATATGGAGTACACACACACACACACACACACACACACACACACACACACCCGTGTTGGAGGAATAGCAGATAAGGTTACTTCAATGAGGTAAAATGAAGTTTGAATGAAAATGAGAGCCTTAGACAAACAAGTGACTAGAGGGGTCAATCCTGGAACCTTGATGCTATTAGCACCACGCTCTAACCGACTGAGCTAGCCAGCCTCACATTATCTGTTTTTACTTAAAGTCAATATTCTAATTTGCAACGGTTTGGGCATATTCTCAGCCAGGTTGAAAATGTTCTCTCCTTTCTAAAAGGGCTGGTTCCCTCCATGCTTTCCCAGCTCTCTTTCCCGTCCTCCTACTGTTCCGCGCAGAGCTCCGACGCGGGCTAGAAGATGCACAGGGAGGAGCGGTTTCCTGTGGCACCGGAGCAGGGCGCGGAGCCAGGAGGATGGGGAGGAGCGGCGGGTGGGGACGCGGGCTGGAGGAGCCGGAGCCCACGGTCCCGAGCTCATCCTCTGATCCACTGGGTGGGCCCGCCGGCCAACGGGAGAAGGCCAGGTCGGCCACTGGGAATCAGAAGGTAAACAAGTTCACATCCCTGCCTATGGAGTTAGTGCAGAGAGAAATATTATCTCAACACAGTGAGGAAATATATGAATAATCTGCGTGAACAGGGCCTATGACCCGCGAGGGTGAAGCTGGCATGGGGTGCTGGGGAGAGGTCAGTAAGGACTTGATTGTGTGTGATCTGGAGGAGAGCGGGGCCCGGCCCTGCAATGGAAGAGCTGTCAGAAACAAGACCTGTGGCTCTCTTCCAGCTAGACATGCTACAGGGGAGCAGGCAGTGATGCAGATCAGTTCATTAGGAGCAAAAAGAGCCAAATATATCCCACAGAACATCAATCAAGACTGCAACATCATCTATAGAGATATAGTACGGCACATATGTATGTCCTGTACATACATATTTAGTACAGAGCTGAAGGAAATGTGAGTGAGCCAGAGACAGGCACTGGACCTTCCTGGCCAAGGGGGCACATGCTCCAGATCCCACACCTGGCACCTCAGCACCTCTCCACACCCACTTCCATTCCAGTCTTTACCAGACAAGTGTTAGCTGGCAGGCACAGAAGATGGATTCTAGGGTTTATTTTTTGAGCACTGATTCCTTTTCAGGTCACTGGCTTATATTTAAAAGGTACAAATCAGAAACTGTACAATAACAAGAAGTCCTCCGGAGTCCAGTTCCTTCCAGGATGTGGAGGCTTTGGAGAAGAATGCCTCAGCTTCTGTGCAGAAGAGGGGACCTTAAAAGGGGCCAAAGGACAGAGTGGGTGACCCTAGGAAAAGTCCAACAGGAAGGGGCAGGGGTGGGAAGTGTGTCAGACAGATGGGTCTCCCTTCTTCATGTTGCCCCTGGGATTCCTGACCCTCTTTGCAGGGTGGAGAGGAGCTGGGAGGAAATTGCAGTCTCTTGGAAAAGCAAACAAAATGGCTAACACACTGGATGAGGCACTGAGAATGCCAAGGCACAAACGCACTGTGCTTCCTGCCTGAAAAGGGCATGGGTATAGAGGGCTGTGAAGAGTTGAAAAAGAAAATACATACAGGAGATACATTAACAGCTCCTGCTTTCACAGCTAAGGTTGAGAGATGACTTCCACTAGCAACACTAACAACAGTTCAGGGGGACAAAACCCGAGCAGAGGCGCTGGCAGCAAACTTGAAACTTCTCAGTTGTTAGGCCCACACTGAGCCCAGCTGAACTACTCAGCCACGCCACACCACCACAGACCTTCTCACAGTGGTCTTGGGCTTCAAGGTTGGCCCTCCTTGCCTTCATAAACCCTTAATAAAAATGATGAGAGATCAACATAAACAAGCAAACTGGTCTTAGAACTTCACTCATGAGCTTGACAGAGGTCATCAGGCACTTTCACACCTGCAGGGTCTGACCTGAGAGGGGATCCTGCCCCTCTCGAGCAACCTCCTGACTGCACCCAAGATGAGTGTGACCTGCTGAACTCAAGTGCAGGTGTGGCCTGCAATGAGCAGGTCCTTTTCAGACTGAGGACAGTTGGCCACTCTGACTCTACTCCATGATCCTTCCCTGGTGTCTCTCAGGTCTACTTCTCAGCGGGTCTGTGTATGAAGGTGTGGCCTTCCTACCTGTCTGCCTCTGCTTTCTGGAGTCTGAACAGTTACACAAATAGCACAGCCACTTTGGGAAACAGTTCAGCAGTTTCTTAAAAAGCTATATATAGCCAGGTATGGTGGCTCACTCCTGAAATCCCAGCATTTGGGAGGCTTAATAAAGAGGATCACTGTAAGGTCAAGGTCAGCCTTGGCTACATAGCAAGACCCTGTCTCAAAAAACAAACAAGAAAAGTTATATATCATTCTAATATATGATCCAGCAACTGCATATATATATATACATATATATATATATATAAATGAAAACATACCTCTACAAGAAGCCTTGTACATAAATGTTCAGATTAACATTTTTCTAATAGCAAAAAGTAGAAATAATTCAAATGCCCATCAATTGATAATAAATTAAATGTCATCTAGTCTGCTGTAGACTATTATTCAGCTATAAATAGAAAAAAATAACACCTGCTACAATATTGATGAACCTCAAAAACATTATGCAAAGTGGAAAAAAGCCAAACATAAAACAGCACACATTAACCTAGCATGATGACTCACACCCATATTCCCAGCACTCTAAGAGGCTGAGGCAGGAGGATCACAAATGTGAGCCCATCCCTGGAAACTTAGAGTGAACCTGTCTCAAAATAAAAAGGGGCTAGGTATGTAGCTCAGTGTGAAAGCCCTAGATTTAATCCTTAGTACCATATCTGAAATGTTAAAAATGTGCAAATCCATAGACAGAAAGTAGATTAGTGGTTGTCTAGGAAGAAGGGTGGGAATGGGAACTGAGTGCAAATAGTCATGGAGAGTTTAGAGGGCCACATGAGCAGGAACAGAAAGGCAATTCAAGGGTTCCCAGGATCCTCCAAGTCCAAGATGGTGGTGGCTGTTATGGCTGTGTCTGGATGTCCCCCAAAGTCTCAGGTTTTGTCAGAGGTGGCAGGGTCCAGAGTGTGTGACACTAGGATTCATGGTGCAGTGCTAGGCTCAAGGGCATGAGGATTAATGGTGTGAAGGCTGCCCACCCTGAGTAGCCTGGATAAGATAAAGGGACAGAAAGACACTGTTAAGGTCCTTTGTTGCTTCTGCTGCCTTTGCCTGCAGTAAACTTTCTCCTCTGCCCTGCCCCTCTGCCAGGTGCCACTCTGCCTTGGAGCCAGCCAACTATGGCCTGAAACCTCTACTGTGAGCAACAAAAGAAGATGCAGCTCTTTCTATCCTTTATACCTTATTCTAACCCTAAACCTTTCCTCCCTTAACTTGTGGGTGTCTCAGCAATGAGAAAAGTAAGACAGTGGCATAGAACTGACGCCACTGGAGGTGGGGAGAAGTCATCAAATTTATATTTTAAAAATAAAACCAGCAATGCTACCAGATGGATTATTCGCTCACCCAGGAAATATTGGTTAACTCCTACTATGTCCAGTTTCGGGAGCTGGTTAGCAAAATAATGGACAAAAGAGATGAGAGACCCTATTGTCATGGTGCTTACTTCCTGGTAAAGGGACAGACAATGACCATATAAATTTTTGAAAAATATGTAGAATACTCCTTGTAGTGACAACTACCTTGCAAAGGAATACAGAATAAAATTAGGAGTAGAGGGCCACAGGTCTTGACATTTTCAAAACTCTGACAGTGGAAGATCTTTCTGAACAAACAACAGAGATGCCACTGAGGCGGCGGGGGGGAGGGACGGGACTGGGAGACCCCAGGTTCCTGGAGGAATAGTAGCTGCTGGAGGGTCACGGAGGTTGATGGGTGCTGAGCAGCCAGAGGGCGATTGCACAGGTGGGGGCTATGGGACCAGAGACTGAGATTAGCGGGATGGAGATGGGGAGACCGGGCCGTAGTGGCGCTGAGGCTGGCGGGAGCGTGGCGCCAGCGGGGCTGAGGCCCGAGGACAAACGGAGACGGGGGAGGCCGGCACAGAGATGGTGTACGGATGCCCGCGTCCTGTCCCGCGGTAACGATTCCAACGGACGCCTGACTTGGAAGGCGTCGGAGAAACTGGAGCCTCTGCCTCACGGCTGAGCTGGAGACGCTGCCCGGGCGGGATAAAGGACTGGAGCCCGCAGGGGAGCGCACGCGGAGGCATGGCCGGAGAATCCTGGCTGCACGCCCTGCTCCTGGCCTGGCTCTGCG